ACGTTAGAAGGTGCCAGAGAGTGTAGATTCACCAAAATAAATGCTACAGATTAGAGCAGCTCAGTATACTTTTCGAACATCTTAAGTACTCGATTGGAGATTTCGAAGACGAGTGTGGCAACTTTTATATCACGTCCTGAAGGCTAAACACAATATTTCGTCGTCTGTTTTCAGCCTGGTTCTGAAATTTGGATTCTCACGTTTATCTAAGGTCTATTAACAAGATATGTATAAGAACAGTGTATCGTTTTGCTATCGCCTAGAATGAAGTTAATAAACACTATATATGTAACAATCATATTATGAGCTCGAGATTTCTATGAGGTGATAGCTGAAGGTGCCTAAGGCCGAATCAACTATCACCTCGTAGAAATCGAGAGCGAATAATCTAATTGTTTTTGTACAATTCTAACTAAATTTCCTTCAAATAAAGATTTTTTAATAATTTCCCAACGTAGCATTAAACTTAATGCTTTAGTAGAACGGATAGACTTGCCACAAGTCGACCTTTTCTTAATCCTTGACTTATTTATCTCTCTCGAGCGAAGCGAGAGGCTATCTTCGAGCGACCGTGAAACCAACAGGCTAGGAAATAATTATTGGAAAGGACTTTTAGAAAGTCTATAGAACGGACTGGAATGTTATTTAAAGCTTACATTTGTGCACGCGTGCTCGTCAGCTCATTGAAAATTTTAAGGTTTTATGTCAAAGCCACATCATGCGAGCCAGTTTCCTTTCTTTACGGTTAACGCTCTTGAGAATTTAATCATCCAGTATTATTTCTAAATCTTCCTCAAAACATCACAGAAACTAGAAAAGGTTGCCATCATTTCGACGACCTCCAGCCACTGCATTCTAATTAACNTTCTCACGTTTATCTAAGGTCTATTAACAAGATTCGAATATATCCTCGGCAACTTTACTGCATTAAAAGCTGTAAGCGTATCCCAGTCAGCCATTCGCACAATCACGAAGTTATTAACGGACCACAAGCTTTGAGTCGAGTACTTCTTTGCACACAGAGGGCATCTTTTTATGATACTAATAAGTGAGAGTTCTTGTGGTAGACAAAATGTGTCTTTGAAACTTGCGATCGGCAGCAGGGTTTGCTTTATCGCCGCATTCGTATCAGTGTAAACAAAGCGGGAATTTCGCTTCTCTTTTACACGTGTCTCCCAATTGCAATATTTCATGGCTGATGGATTACTTTGAGTTCTTTAGCACATACTTATGTCTATGATCTTCTTTTAATAGTACCAAAGTTTAAAGCAATTCGTTAAAACGTCACTAGTTTACACTCCTTTCGAAGGTTTATTAAACGGAATTTGAACTAATTTGCATATGTGACCTTTCGCCGCCGACATTGTCACGCTTCCTCTCGTTTCCTGAAAACATACCTGTAGGGTCATGGCAGCTTAGTTTACCTTTATAGTTTTAAATTCGCTCCCTCCATATAAAAGAAGAGGGTTTCTTAAATTGTTGCTGTTGTGATAACTTGTAGGATGTAGCAGATACAACTGGACTAAAGGTCACTGTGGCACAATCTCGTCCGCTGTTAAACTCACAAAGCGTCCGGTTTCCTCGAAGCGAAGCGACTCGAAAACTCGAAGCGTTGTTGCTGCGATTT